GCTGTACCGTTCTCGACTCTTAATCCTTGTCTGAATTCAGTTCCCCCCCTCCCCTCCTGCGCGAAGCGTGGAAGCTTTAACGTTTCATTAAATCATTAGAGAAACAAGACGATTCACTGTAGAGTTCTCGACTCTTAATCCTCGTCTGAATTCAGGGTCCCTCCTCCCGCGTGAAGCGCGGAAGCTTTTAAGTTTCATTAAATCATTAGAGAAAGAAGACGATTCGTTGTTCCGATCTCTACTCTTAATCCTTGTCTGAATTTCAAAGATGTTCTTTGTCTGCTCCATTTTATTCCTACGCCCTCTTTCTTTTCTCTCCTCTCTTTTTTATTTTGACGGCGATTTTCGGGGACCGCCCCCACAGCCCCCCCCCCCTGGCTACGCGCCTGCGGTCAGATAAACACATTTTGATAACTTGTCCGACCCCAGAAGCTCAGGGGCTATAAATTACGGTCAGATAAGCATTCAGGGGCCCGCCTTAGGGCCCCTGGTGGGGTCGAGGCAGTGGAGCCACCGGAGGCTCAGGAGTTTTAGACATTAAATTACCGTCAGATGAGCATCTAAGGGCCCGCCTTAGGGCTCTAGGTAGAATCCAGGGGCCAGCAGAGCCCCCGGAAGCTTGGGGGCTTTAGGCATTTAATCACGGTCAGATGAGCATATTTTGATGTTTCATTATTTTTTGACACTGGCAGTTAACTCTTTTTTCTTTCTTGCTCTCTTTCTTTTTTATTTTTCTTTAATATACCTTTTCACAAAAAAGTGGGGGGGGGGGGGGCCCGAGGCTCTCGATCCCCGCCGTTCCTCGGGCCCTGACATGTAGGAATCTCAAGAATCACATTTCTTGCCTGGCTGTAAATTTAGGAATTTGTCACATAAAAACGTATAATTTACTTAAAAGTGAGGAAAAATCTCTGAAATTATGTCATTTCAGCATTATTTGTAATCTACCGTTATGGAATTAGAAATAAACCACGTTTAAATTTGATTTCCCACAAGCCCCCTACCCCCTATCAGTTCGCCAGTATCTCCCGTTTTTCTTTTTTCTTTCCCTTTCCTTCCTTCTCTCTTATTTTTGTGATGGGGGGGGGGGGGGGGGCAACAGCCTGGGAGGCAAGGCCCTTTCGGCCCCCGATCTTTTTCTTACCCCTTTTCTTTTCTTCTTCCTCTTCTCTCTTTCCCTTTCTCTCCTCTTTCCCTTTCCCTTCTTTTCCTTTCTTCTCTCTCTCTCCTTTTTTTTTTTTTTTTTTTTTTTGCGGGGGGGGGGGGGCCAAGGCACGCTCGGCCCCCTGGATCCGCGCCTGGTTCTATATTTACGGATGGGGTGGCAGAGCCCTAGGCTGCTCTCGAGCTTTTAACAAGTTAGAACCTTCCAGATGGTCATTACGAGCGATAGAATTTCACACATCCCCTTTCATTTCATTTCGTTAGAAATCATCTCTCTTTCTCGCTTGAAACCTTTTCTATACTGTTCTATTTTCTATGAATTTGTAGGGTTTTTTTTTCTCTCTCTCTCTCTCTCTCTCTCTCTCTCTCTTTCTCTTTCTCTCTGTCTCTCTCTTTTATATTTCTAATTGACCTCTTTAACTGTTTAATATAACATCTGAAAACTGAGTTTTATTTCGTAAGAATATACTCTTTGTATCTTTTATTATGCTTTTGTCACTACATATAGAGAGAAGAGTTTTGCTAGGATTTAGGAAGTAATTGTGTAATATTTCAGAAAAAGATTTCAAGGGTTACTTCGACGACAGGTCGGGAAATTAGAGAAAGTTGGGTTATTGTGTGGAAAGAAAAAGAAAAAACCTTTATTTAGTGAAGACTGTAATGTTATGGTTTTGAAACATTAGCCTTGAGAGCTAGTCCACCTTGGTCTATAATTACAGTTAGCCGTGTTCAAATTAGAAGTTAAGCAGTCAGATGTTTATTTTTATTATGTAAAGATCAGTTCTACACAAAGTCATGGTGTTTCACAGGAAACACATATTCTGACCAGTCTCTTCATTTCATTTCAGAATTTAAACCATTTATCCCCAGACCGGGGTAACGTTTGTATTAATAATTTATATATTTCTTCATTCGTTAATTAATTAGTTCGTTCATTCTTTCATTCATTCGTTAATTAATTAGTTCATTCATTCTTTCATTCATTCGTTAACTCATTCATTCTTCATTATTTTGCTTTGCTAACTGTTTCTCCCCAGGGTAGTTCAAGATCTTTGTAAAGGCAAAAACGGGGGCACAATGCCCGTAAAAATATATAAGCATGCACAAACGATTAGCATACATGTATAATACTAAAAAGGAAGAAGCACTGGCTTCTAGATATTTCTGTCAAAGAAAATTTACTCTCGGGGGAAATTCTCTTGAGTCTTGACACTAGCTGGCGCAAGTACACATCGCTACTTTACAGTTTGAGCCTACAAAGAGCAACCGAGTTACTTTGAACAGTTGAATAGATGCATGAATAAGTTCATGGGTGTCGATCCCGGGGGGATGGGGGGGGGGGGGGGGGGGGGGGGGGGGGGGGGTATATCCCCCAATATTTCAGGTGGGGGGATGGCCTGTACAATCATCCCCCCCCCCAATAATTCACCATCAAAACAAAAATCAAGAGAAAAATTAATGATGAGAGCCCGATGAGAGTAGTTAATGGTTATTACTCGCAAGATGACCTTCAATATACACATTTTGCTATCTCATTTTCATAATACGTACATAAAATACGTAGTAAATGAGATAACCGTATATGAGACAAGAATAAATTGAATTCTCGCTCATACGGCTTCATCAGGAATTGATGAATTTATTCAATTTGTTCAATCAACAGCATCATAGAAAGGCAGTGCGCCAAATGCAAAGACGCAGCGTTAAAAAGCAACGAACTAAATGTTAAGCGCGAGGCGCAAAAGTAGCAATCTGCAATGCACATCAGACAAACCTGGACAGTGTAAGCATAGATGAACTCTGTGACGAATTCGTGATGAGATCGGAGACAAGGAGAAAGCTTTCGCGCGGGAGCGGAAAAACTGAATTCAGATAAGGATTTAGAGTCGAGAACGGTACAAAGAATCGTCTCCTCTCTCTAATAATTAAATGAAACGTCAAAGCTTCCGCGCTTCACGCGGGAGCGGGAAAACTGTATTCAAACAAGGATTTAGAGTCTAGAACGGTACAACGAATCGTCTTCTTTCTCTAAAAATTTAATGAAACGTCAAAGCTTCCGCGCTTCGCGTGGGAGGGGGGAACTGAATTCAGACAAGGATTAAGAGTCGACAATGGTACAACGAATCGTTTTCTTTCTTTAATAATCTAATGACACGTCAAAGCTTCCGCGCTTCGCGCGGGAAAACTGAATTCAGTCAAGGCTTTGGAGTCGAGAACGGTACAACGAATCGTCTTCTTTCTCTAATAATTTAATGAAACGTCAAAGCTTCCGCGCTTCGCGCGGGAGGGGGAAAAGAAATGAATTCAGACAATGATTAAGAGTCGAGAATGGTACATCGAATCGTCTTCTTTCGTTAATAACCTAATGAAACGTTAGAGCTTCCGCTATACGCGGGGGAAGGGGAACTTGATTCAAACAAGGATCGAGAACGGTCTTAAATGAAAGCCTGGCTTACGCGCTTGGAGGGGGGGGGGGGGGGTGCAACCTGCCACACGTTCCTACCTCTTGGTTGCTTTGATCCATTGCCGAAAATATTTTGGCACCGATCATCCCCCAACCACGGATACAAATCGACACCCTTGAATAAGCTGGAACGGGAGAAGAGGCATATGAGAGCCCATACCCAAATCGAAGGGAGAGAGAGAGAGAGAGAGAGAGAGAGAGAGAGAGAGAGAGAGAGAGAGAGAGAAAGAGAGAGAGAGAGAGAGATTAGTAGAAAGGGGAGTATTTCCAAAAGCCAGGTTTCAAGGTTTCTTTATCTTTCCACATAATATAACATAATCAAATGAATATGCAATATAAACAAATTCAATAACATAATATTAAACAAAGATACGACAAAATGAGTTTACAATTACTTTATTCTACATAATATTCTTTTGTCATGTGTAAATTTGCAATATTTGTTTGTTATATATTTGTAAAAATGCAAAAGAAAAAGAAAATCAAACAGACATAAATAAATCAAATCAAATCAAATCAAATTATTCAAATGAATCATTTAAGGTTGGCACACTGGTAAAACATGGCTTGTATTTTATAGACCCCTTGAGAATTTTTTTTCTTTTCCAAGACTAGTGCTCGACCTGTAATGTATTGCAAAATATGCAAGAAAAAGATACCGTATATCTGTTACAAAACATTGTGTATTATACACAATGTTTTGGAACATACCTACGGTATCTTTTTCTTGCATATTTTGTGCTTAAAGCCTATAATTAAGCAAAAAATATGCAAGAAAAATATAAGTTCTTTACAAACTAATCTTTTGTATACTTATTATAGGGTCAATGTTTAATGGACCAAGGTACAACGAAGGCTACTGGGCATTTTGTTTGTTTTTATTTATCTCATCAAGATTATAAGAACAAATTGAACAAACAACACGGGTCAATTAATGCCAATAGCACCACACAATGTGTTTTTGTTGTACTGGCAATCAGACAAGAACTGACTATAATTCCCAAACCTTTCTATTTGATATGAATTTGTTTTCTTTTCCTCTTCCTTTTGTTAAGTGGATAACAGTACAAAAATTAAAGGGTCGCTTTTTTTCTTTTCTTTTTCCAATCCTATCTTTTTAATTTTAATAACCCAAACAAGGAATTAAATATGAAACTGAAAGACAGAAAAAAAGAGTCCTTCCCGAGTAGGCTTGATTCAGACCCCCTCCGCCCCCCCCCCCCCCCCCCCCCCCCCCCCCCCCCCCCCCCTCCACGATCGCATCCGGTATGTACTTTGCTAATAATGGTACAAGGTGGGCGTGGTCTGATATCTGTGGGGAAAATGGCACGTGTGCATGACATCACTTTTGTGTAGAACTTGCATTGCCGATTGGATCATGTTTATCATGACATTTTCGTGACTAGTGACGGTAAGGTGTAAGACGCAACAAATATACTCACCAAAATGTTAGCGATATGCAGCGTTGATAATTTTAGGCTTTGAAGTTCCACTCTATTTTCGGGCATAAGTAAGTAAATAAATAAGGTTATTAATATTGATGTGATTGTTCCATTTTCTATTAGTGAAAATCGTAATTATTGGTACAAGTTTTGAACAGGCGTTTGGTTGTGCGTCAGCGAATACGCCGATTTCACCACGCCGAAGCTTATGGGGAGAAATTGTCTGTTGTCTGCTCCACTAGCTACGTCGAGGGGGAAGTCCATCTTGGCCTTGTGAGTGTGATTAAGCTGTTTTTTAAGCAAAGGCAGAAAAATGAGAGAACAAAATTAGGGAAAGTTTGAGCTATATGAATATCTGATTAAAATAAGAAAGTAATGTCTAAAAATCTAATGAATTTTTAAGTTGTCATCACAAATTGGCACTGCACTGGTGCTGCGCTGGAAAAACTGTGACTGCATGAGTGTGATGTATCTTGCAACATTTTCTCATAAACTTATATTTTCTTACATGTTGATGATTGAATTGATTTTTTTTCACACAGGGGTTGTATAAATCCATATTTGCAACAAATATATTTAGGATGAATGAATGATATTTGGCTTTTATATAGCGCTTAGTACATCAACGATGTGTCTAACTCTAGTCTAAGCGCTTCACAGATATTACTCCGGTCATGGGATTCCGGCTTATCCGCACACAATGTATACACATTCTCCACTCCCTGGGGAGCGTTCCAGCCAGGCGCACATTTGCTCATCTATATAACCACATTAACTTTCGCATCCGGGTACCCATTTAACACCTGGGTGCAGATCGAGTGGCAAATGTAGATGAACATCTTGCCGCAGCGAAAATCCAACCCCGAACCTTTTGATCTGCAGTAGAGTGACTTATCCACTAGACCACAACACCTCTATATATGATTGAAGATTTTCTGGAAGGAAATTAAATTTCAAAAGTTTTTAGTACCTGCAGGATGAAATGGGAGGGGAGCTTGCAAGATATGTCACAGAGTTGCCACTTTGTGTTCAATTGATTAATTGCACCTTAAAAATGTATTATAACTTTTTTGTTTTTGATTGGTTTTTGCTCAAACTTTTACCAGCCTATTCTTTGATGCTATTAAAACCAACTTGATATCAGGGTGGACTTCCCCTTTAAAAGGCATGAATATTATAACCTGTCATAATGAATAATGAATTTAATTTTTATTTATGTTGCTATTTGTTGCCATTTCTGGAGATCAAGGCTTTTTTCATGTTTTCTATTCCTCAACATACAATCCATTATGATGACAGTAGACCCCCCCCCCCCCCCCAAAAAAAAATTAAAAAAAATCTCATATTGGCAGATCATTATATACATGTATAATATGGTCTGGATATGTGTGTTGTCTTACTCGTAGAGTCAGTTCACACAGTGTTTAATATACCAGGGGAGTGTTTCACAAAGACTAAGATCGACTTAAGTTGGACTTAACTCTCGCAGGCCATTCATGCCACTGGTTGCTCTCAACATTATGATCTTTAGATAATATTTTTCCCTCAATAATGAACTATCAAAAAATGTAAATTCTGTAGATTTGTGACCTTGATTTGTAAGGCTATTGAGAGACCAATGCCAGTAAATGGTGAAAGAAAACAGTGGCATGAACGGCCTGCCATAGTTAAGTCCAACATAAATTAATGCCGATCTTAGTCTTTGTAAAAAACTCCCCAGCTGGGCCTTCTTGTATGAAAGTTGTGTTGAAATGCACTGTATGCATAAAGCTCCTGGTGGCCTTGTCTTCATAACTCATGTGCTTTGAATTAACAGTAATTAAAGTTACGCGTGAACCATTGCCCTGCAGACCAAATTTGGTCAGTAATTTAATAATTTATTTTAGAAAATTAAAAAAGAAGCTATGTGTACGTGTGTAAATAAATTGATTTGTCAAATAGAGAAATGCATGGACATGTATACCTTTACCTGCATATGAATTTAGATATTCATTTTCATTCATTTGACAGGCTTTACAACTTACAAGAACAGATGTCTAGTCTACACAAGTTGAATTTATCCGATGGGAAATCAGCAGTTGTTTGTCGCTAGGTTAGGGTACCTTTGTCATCTCAACGCTAATTTCAGTCTCACCCCTCGTCTTTTACGTCTTTTGACTTCCAGACGAGAAATTTTTGCTTTGAGTCGGCAACGCAAAAGTTCCAACACACAAGGCGGTACACTCTGGACTGATCAACACCTTACAGGGAGACCATACTGCACAGCTCCTGTAGGGATAACTAAGAAGGGTGTTGGATTGTTTACGGAAGAAGGACTGAAGAGACGCTCTGATACCATGGCAGAAGGAGGCATGAGTCATCGGGAGAAAGATGGAGAGCTCTTGTACCCAGCTGTTGACACAGTGAGTTCAAATTTCACTCTTCTTATTCTAATAGGCCAGGGGGGTGTTTCACAAAGATGCTATATTGAACTTATCTCTAAGTTGGACTTAACAATTATGGAAAGCCGTTAGCATCTTTGAAAATATTTTGTAAAAGCTTTTTTTGAAAGGCATAACAATGTTGATACAAATCATTTATATTTTCTATTATCAAGAAGATTTCATGTTCTTGATGTGGAATTTATGAAAAGTTTACGGTACTTGAATTTTTGCTTTTGAATATATTTTATTATAAGGCTACACATGGCTCTCCATTATTTAAAGTCCAACTTAGAATTTTTGTGAAACACCCCCTGGATCGAGCCTGTTCTGAAATAGTACCCCGTTCCATTCATATGATTTGACCCCTCATAGTCACTTGGGCTATCTTTCTCATTAACAAAAAGGTTTTTAGCTGTTAGGTTTGCCCCCCCCCCCCAAACAGACCCTAAAGTTGGGTCAATTTCACCCGATCCACTTGTAGTCCATGCATTAGTAGGAATAGGAAGTAGTATGACATTACAAAACACAACCACAAAAAAATGACAAAAAATTCTGTAGGGAATAGTGTGTGAGATGGCCCTTAAAAAGTGGGGTCAATTTTTCCCTATCAAATTATGTCAGAAAGAAGAACTCTAGCTGTACATTACAAAAATATAAAAGACTGACAAAATTGTCCAACAAGTATGGGGTGAAATGCTCCCCTTCTATTAAAAACAAACACTAAAGTGCCCTTAGGTTTTGCTGCCTCATATGTGTCTGTAAAGATTTTTTTTAATCAAAACATTCTGACCTTAATAACTCAAAAGTTTTTAAATCAATTAAGTTCAAATTTACATAACACAATTTTGAGTATTGTATTGTTTTTGAGGTACAATTTGTTGTCAAACGATCTGTCCATATTAAAATCATTCAGATTGTAAAAATCATGACGCTTCCTCAAAAGCAGCCAGAAAATAAAAACACTTTTATTGAACTGCTGCCCCTGTCTTACAAGATAAAATAGAAGAGCTTGTGAGGTATCAGGGCTAGGTGACTACCATGATGAAATTTACCATTCATGTGTGAATTACACAAATAACTTTTGATAAGAGAATTTCCTAATTATCTTAACTAGCCTGCCAGCAAGAAAATATTCTTGTCATGTGGGTAATTCTAGAATCATTCTACCACAGTAACTATTTTAAGCTGGTACATTGTATACTTTATTTTGCATGTCTTTACATGTCTGTAGAAGAATTGTTTAAATTTTTTTTACTGGTACCATATTAACTTCATGTATTAAAGCTAAAGAAGACAATGTTATTCTTAACACTTCACAGTCTGGTGCATGGTAGGTTTTGAGATGTACTGGTAGATCAGTGTGGTCAACAAGGGGTTTAAACATATAAACACCAACATGTTTAAATTTTCAATGTACAGGTTTAAAAATCAACAGCAGGTTTATAATTATTCTCATCTGAATTTATTCATGAAATATTAGTCATAAAATTTGAAAATTTGAAAATGCTTCTAATTATGACTCAGATTGCACCAGAGGGCACCTAAGAAATATAGAGTCTTTAAAGGTCTTAAGCTTTGCTATCCCAATACCTAAACATCGTGACAGTATAACTATAGGACAATCCAATTATATTTGGGGGCTACCCAGGCTAGTAGGTCAAGATCATAGTCAGTATACATTGGATTATAGGCTTTTTGTTTCATTGTGAATAATTTCATCCATTTCCAATACTGAATTTAGGATGGAGACATAGGAGACAGTCCCATTTGTCTTCTTTTTTAAAGGGGGGATGGATTTTTTTTCTCACACCCCTTGATAATTCATATACACATATGAAAGATATGACATTCCTTTGTGTTTTACTCTCCTTCTACACATCTTTTGTGTCCCTTCTCTCTATTTCTCTTTTACATACACACTGTCTCTCTTCTCTATATTTACCTTCCCTTTTATTTTGCTCCCTGACTCTCCTCCCACCCTCCCTCCCTCCCTCCTTATCACTCTAACCCTCCCTCTCTCTCTCTCTCTCTCTCTCTCTCTAACCCTCCCCCTCTCTCTCTCTCTCTCTCTCTCTCTCTCTTTCCCCTCTCTCCCTTTATCTTTCCCTCTCACAGTATGGACCTATAACAGTACGAGGTAGTGAGTTAGAGCCAGGCAAAAAGAAAAAGTGGTGTACCTGTGGACTTAGCAAAAAAGCTCCTTGGTGTGATGGTAAGTAATCTCCTCGGAACTCAACTTTTATCAATTTTACAATGGCTCTGATTATGTAGCAATTCCAGACGTCATGACATTTCCAATGAATTTTCATTTTTGAAAAATCAATGAAATCAATGTTTTAATAAAAACCTACACAGAAATGAGATATAAACTAATAGTTACTTTCACAACAGTTGATTCTTCTGTCAACCCTTCATCAAATTCATAAAATACTGAAATTTTAATAGCTTTGTTACAGAATGACCTAAAAATTGCCTTGTGTGTCATTCCATGACAAACCTATACATGAAATTCTATAATTCATAAATTTGATGAATAGTTGATAGGAAATATAACATAAAATTGCACCTAATTAGTTAATGCAGTATCTTAACATTACTTTGCATATTTTGATATTACAATGTCTATAAATATTCGTCATTAAAAATAGAAAATTCATGGAAATGTCATTTTGTTACACTTGGAAGTGGTAGCACACTTAACAAACCTAGCACATGTGTACATTGTAAATGTATCATGAGATGATGAGGGGGTGTTATGATTCACTTTTCTATTCCTTTTTTCTCTCAGTATATATTATTTTCATATATATTTATATTATCAGATTTATTATTTCATCAAATACATTATCACACTTCATTTAAGGGTACTCTTTCTCTCTTTCTCTCTCACTCTCCCACTCTCTCTATCTTTACATTTTTCTCTTGTATTTCTTTTTACACTTCATTGCCCCCTGTCCATTTTACCCTCATCCACTTCTCCTCCCTCTCTTTCTTCTCTCTCTTCTTATTTTTCCTCCTTCCACTTCTTCTTTTTTTTTTCTTATTTTTCTTCTTATTTTTCTTTTCTCCTTGTTCTTCTTCTTCAACTTCTTCTTTGTCTTCCTTTCTCGCTCATCATTGTTTTGTATCTCTTTGTTGCTCACTTGCTTTGACACTCTAATCTCAGGTGCTCATAAGAAGACTGGTTTCCGTTCCCTCAAGTGGGAGGTCCCTGAGAAGCCCCAGTCCGTCTACCAGATATGTAACTGCAAGTATACCAAGTCACCTCCGTACTGTGATGGGACCCACACCAATCTTCCTCAAGAGGTTCTGGAGAGACAGAAGAACTGTCCCAACAAGCCAACCCATGAAGAATGTTTAAAGATGTGCACTGGATGTGGGTGGAAGGTGGACTTTTGATGTTGGTTTAAAGACATAGATTACTATGCATGGGACCACAATATTCTAGGATGGCAGTTTTATGCCCCAGTCACACTAAGAGGACCAACACCAGGGGGGGGGGGTGTTTCACAAAGATCCTAAGTTGAACTTATCTCTAAGTTGGACTTAAAAAGTATGGACAGCCATTGGAGCCTTAAAATGAAATATATTCAAAAGCAAAAATTGGAGTATTTTAGACTTTTCATCAATTCCACATCAAGAACATGAAATCTCCCATGATAATAGAAAATATGAATGATTTTAATCAACATTTTATGCCTTCTAAAAAAAAAATTACAAAATGTTTTCAAGGATGCTTATGGCTTCCCATAAATTTTAAGTCCAACTTAGAGATAAGTTCAACTTAGGATCTTTGTGAAACACCCCCCAGGCTGACAATAAACCAACCAATAGTTTGATATTACTCTGAATGGCATACAATCAATCAGTTTGGTGTTAGTCTGATGGTGTAACTGATGGTGTGAATTAACCTGTTGACTACCAAAGTTTTTCATTCCCCTAGTCTTTATGTACAAACAAGTTTCTTCCCACAGGCAATGGGGTACTTGAACCCTGTTTCACAAAACTTGTAATCATTAACAGCTACTGAAATCATGACATTTTACTAGCTGTACATGAGCAAATTTGTCGTAGGATTTAGCATTTGTTATTGATAACGATTTTATGAAACAGGGCCCAGGTCCGAAAATGGTTTTGTAAGAATATTTTTATACTATGTAAGGTGAAGATGATCTTAATTCTGAATCCTTATAATTTACTTTTTTCTTAGATGTTGAATAACTGAGGTACATAATATAATTTGAATTTAATATCATGGAACCCTTTTCTATGTATTTTAATTGTATGAGTCACTCTGGCTGTTGCATTTTATGTGAGTGTGTTTGTAACGGTGATAAGTTTGCACTTCGATCACAAGTTGTGGCTGAAAAGAATGCGTTAGCTTGGAAAATTGTCAAACTCATGCATTTGCCTGGGACAAGCTACATACGGTACAAAGGGGCAATATTTTAAAGTGAAGTATCATTTTCTCTTGTGAGGACTTTAAATGGAAGACAAACGATTTCTTTCATAAAATTCAATGAATTACATATAATCGGAAAAAATTATTTTTGTATAAAAGTGAAGGCTGATGCAAATTTTTATAAACTGTGCAAAATTGAGACCATTATCTATTTGTGCTTATTTCATGTACTCTTTGCTCATCTCAGACAAAAACTTGATGTACATGTACATGTATGCATTGAAAATACAGAGAAATTTAGATTTCTTATTAGTTTTAGAATTTTAGATTTCTTATTAGTTTTAGAATTTTAGAACATAAGCCTACTATATTATCAGTTTCTAAGAATTAGATTTTGTGATAGTAGATAGAAACGCAATACGTAGAATCAAGTTTATTCTTCCAACTATATCTTATTCAGAATGTGATGATATGAGTGTAGTACCTCAGGGCATTGCACGTTTACTCCAAGTTTTCAAACATGATTCTTTCAATTCCCTCTAGTAGGGGTAGGCAGAAAGTGATGTGTAAGCCCTGCACTATGCCTGATATGCCTTCACATTGTGATCAAAGTGTTCACTTGATTTACAATATTATATTATATATATATATTTTGTGCCTCTGTCACAGAAGGTGGTGACTGAGAGTATCTTTTTGGGGTTGTTCATCCATCCATCTGTCCTGCATTTCATTACCATGGTAACTTGAGATCCATTGATTGAACAGATTTTAACCGAACTTGGATGTAGTATGTATGAGCATGCAAGGATGAACTGTTTAGCTATTGGGTGTAAGAGGTCAAAAGTCACAGGGTCATAAAGTGTTAAAAATATCAAAGAGACACTGTTGCATTCATCTTGTTTTTTATTTTCAAAGAGGAGAAAGAAGAGGCCTTGAAGGAAAATAGAAGAATGTGTGTCTTTTTAGAAAAGATTTTGAATGCTGATAATATACAGGGTCTTAACACATTTTTGCTGCCAAGTAAAGCTACTATGACTTCCTCTGTAGGTCTCTAAACAGACCCTGTACATCTAGGGACAATTTGTTCTTGTAGTGTATTTTAACATGTATGCTGCATTACACCAAATTGTATTTCTTGGTAACTGTAATGTACTCTTTAGCTTTTTATATGAATTATTTTAACAAAATATATAAACTATTACATAAATGTAGTGAGCTGTCAATTTTGAATTGGAAATATGTCAGAAAGAAAAAAAAAAATTTAATACTTTATTTGTATGTAAGTATCTGATTTGTTGTCCATCCAAAAAATAAAATTTAAATGAAATCTCTTTTATGAACTGCAGTGGATATATATCTAGGAAGGTATATCTAATAAACCATTATGAATGAAAATACATGTATTTGATTTTCATGTAGTTTAAGCCATCACAATTCTTAATTATTTTTTAAAAAGAGGAATGAAATTGTCACAAGGCAGGTAATCCTGGCATGAAATATTAAGTGTGAGATTTTTGTTTGTGGTTAAAAAGGATAAAAATGAAACAAAAACATTTAAAAATATTTTGTACATGGAAAGTGGAATGTGATTGGTTTGGTTTGTATTGCAGAACACATACCAGTATCATCACCTCAAGGTCAATACGTTCCTCATGACAAGTTCTTTTTTCTCATGAAGACTGACAGCTCTGATACTAAGTGAATGTAGATGTGTAATGCTTAATGTACGTCCTGCTACTATAATATCATGTATAAAATGTAATTGCCGACACCAAAAAGTATGTGTTATTTGAATATTATATGGTGTTACTTGTTTATAGTGCAATCAACACGTTTAGTGCCTTCCAAAATAACTTAAGTATTTGATATTTTTAGTGTAATTAAGCAGTCTTTTTAAATGCCCAGATATTAGACTTTTTTTACCATGCTAGATAATATTTGTAAACTTTTTACATGGTCAAGGTTAAGCAAAAAAATGAAGCAGTCTTTTTGTAAACAGTCATTCAATATGTTATGTGCATTGATCAGCATGATTATTGTGGGGATTCATGAAATTATGATATTACTCAATTAATATTTATTTCATAAACAGATCAAAATAAATGAATTTTTCACTATATGTTGTTACTTTGGTCTCATGTTATGCCCGTTTTCGTGCTAGATAATTATGACATTTTTACCTTTGCTGATAATGGAGGGAAGAGACAGATTAGTTGTGTGATACACCCACTAATAACATGAGAGGGAGGTTTCCTGGGTAGCGAGAGTCCAAAATAATAGAGTGATAAAGAGAGAGAGAGGGGGGGGGGGGGGAGAAAGAGAGAGAGAGAGAGAGAGAGGGGGGAGAAAGAGAGAGAGAGGGGGGGGGGAAGATATATAGAGGAAGTAAAGCTTCCTGAGTGAGCTGCCAAAGGGATTACCCAACCAAGTACCAAGAGAGAGAGAGAGAGAGAGAAAGAGATATAGGAAGTATAGCTTCCTGAGTGAGCTGCCAAAGGGATTACCCAACCAAGTACCAAGAGAATGAGAGAGAGAGAGAGAGAGAGAGAGAGAGGGGGGGGGGGGGGGGGGGGGGGGGGGGAATGACAGATTTGAAAGAAACCGACTTGCGACATAAAACATTGAAAACGTAGAGGGCAGCAGTTCAAAACAATTTATTTGTACATACCCAATCTATCTTTGCTGCGCAGTGAAGAAAGCGGTAACCAACTGCAGGGCATGTAAGTATTATATAACTTATATCTATAACTTTTTAGGAAAAACGGTGACTCTTGTGAATGAACTTTTCTGTTTTGTGAAATTAAGAAGACGACATTTTCAAACTATTCTGTTGACAAAATTCTTCTAATATGGGTAAAATTCGATTAAGGGTCTAGTGCAAAGTGATAATTAAGTCCCACGTATTACATTTGATGTTAGTGTTGCATTGAATGTCTTGATTGAGCTCTCATCTCTTCGGCCTTTCACAATCCAGCATACACATACTGACATAGCTGCATTACTATCCTGGTTGTGTATTAAAAGCTGTGCTATTGATTCTCAACATTTCACACACTACTGTACAAAACTTAACTGATTTTACTCAAAATCGGTACTTTACTCTTTACTAATTTAGTGACATTTTATGACACCTAACGTTAGATCTAGATCTAGATCTAAAGTAGAGTCTCCGGTTTGCGGCATCGCCCGGTTTGCGGCCAGGGGTATTTGTTTTAAAAATAAAATGAATATGACTCGATAATAATCATTAAAACCTACCGTGGATTCCACGGTAAGTTCTGCTTTGCCGAAAACGTCCGTAGCAGGTGCTCCTGTCGGTACGGAGTATCCGTCAGCGATGTCGGAAATCTACGGCACCAGTCGCCGATGAAAATTCCAGCAGGTGCTAACTTTTAAGTTAAGAGATCGAGGCATGACTAGATCAGTATTGTAGCTCTATTTGTCCGATATTTGTCCGATTGGAGGTGAAATTTGATGTTTTTGTGGAAGTATGATGGCTGTGGTCTGTCTCCTATCGCAGATATTTTGATTGTGCCACCGCATGGCCAGTTGCATGGGGTGACCGCAAACCGGCACTGAATTACGTGTTTTTTCTGGTTTGCGGCGGGGGGTGTTAATACACACATAACATGCGGGATCGTGTATGATGGTATGTGTGCTGATGTGTGTACCCGCTATGACCCGATAGTTTCTAGTAGTACTTGCCCCCGGATGGGATGATCCATTCGAGGAAAAGGTGAAATTGTTTAAACCTTGACAAATTTACCGTAGCAACAGATAAACATGAGAATTTGGGTTACCCGTAGTAATTTGGTACATGCTTTCATCGTGACGTACGCGTGCCGCAAACCGGTAATGCGTGCCCGCAAACCGGGGAACTCGAAGCATTTCGAAACGTGGTCAATGCTGACCACGCTGTGGGTCAGTTAGGTTATTTGTGACTTCTATTTAATAAGTAAGTATATGGACTCTTTATTGAGGGTATTGAAGTATTCTGTGAGTATTCCAATAAAAATAGAATCGGCAGTTCCCGCCGATCGGCCGCAGACCAGAGCCACTACTCTATTCCTTAATTGCAGTAAAATACAATTTTTTTCAACTTACCAATGTTTTTTTTTTTAAACCTTTGCTGGAGTGCGATGCCGAAGGAGTTGCACACCACATAGAACTTTAGCTAACATTTAGCGCATGCGCATTACATTCATCTGATCTCAGCCTCATTTTCCTTAATTGGCGCGAGAGTGATTTTACCTTGCATCCAACCAATCGGCCGAAAACTGGAGCTGGCCGATTACCGGGTCCTTTACTCTATTCGAGGCCCCTTCTTTTTAGCTATCGCAGAAAATATTGTGATATAGAGATTGCATGCATCCTTATGCAGTCTATGTGTATTGCGCGATCATGCAAAATTGGTCAATGATTTTTTGACCGAATCAAGATTCATACCTTTATTTCTTGTGATCCTGAAGGTGATACTCAATAAATGAGGTGTCATATGAAAGAGCAGATTAATCTCCATATTTCCAAAGGGGCGTCCACTCAAAATTCTAAACATATCTTGGTCACAACAGCAATTAAAATGAGGAGGGGTTTGTCTCTTCGGTAATGCATATTCAGCAATTATGAGCAAACAGCGCTCTATATCATGAATAATCATATTTGCTGCACCTCTACCGCACATGCATACTGTCTCTCCCCCATGTTGAATCGATGATACAAAATCGTTGGGTTAGGATGTAGAATCACCCTTTTTCCATCAAAAACTTCTTCAAATTAGAATTTCAAGTTGTTGGAAAGATGCCCACAGGAGTTGAAAAACATTGTAAGTCAAAGTTGTACCTCTTTACATTGCGAAAACATGTGACCCAACACACTGTCTGAATCGTTATCATAAACAGGCTTTGAAGCTCCAACGGCATCACCATCGGCGTCGGAGCTCCCTGGAGTTAATGTTAGTGTTACTCCAGAGAGCTGAAGGCGTCGGAGCTCTAGAGCCTGCATAGCAGTAGGAAAACAATTCAAATAGCGGGTTGGGTCACATTTTTTCGAAATGAAAAGAAGTAGTAATTACAATTTTGACTTACAATGTTTTTCGACTCCTCTGGGCATCCCTTCAACCACTTGAAATGATAATTTTATGAAGTTTTTGATGGGAAAAAGGGTGATTCTACGTCCTAACCTGACGATTTACCATGTTGTATAGAGTCAATGCTAATGCGTATTGACCTCTAGTATTTAGTAGGCAGTTATTTTATTGATAATTGTAATATTCTTTTAATATTTGGAATAAATATTGTATTAATCTAACATCAAATTGTTATTATATTTTGCAGTAAAATAACAATATTTTGGGGTAAAATAACAATATTTTGTTGAAAAAACTTCATTTACTGCAAGATTGCTGTATGTGCATGCATGTTTTCAACAAAAACTTCAGAAAACGTTGGTTCCACTGAGCTACGAAACACAGCAGGTTAAATCTTAATTTATTTTTTTTCAAAGCACTAATGAGTGTATCGGTGTATTAGTCCCTGTGCATTGTAATAATAATAATAATAATAATAATAATAATGGGTTCTTGTAAAGCGCTCATGTCAGTCAGATGTGACTCTCCTGTAATATTTCTATAGCGCTGTCTATCTAGAAATTCTATTCCGAGGCGCATTTATTATTACCCGGCTTTAGCCTAGCTGCCTATACAGCGCTCCAGCATTTCAAGGAATTAATTCCTGCCAGGTACCCATTTACATCACCTGGGTTGAGTGTGGCAAATGTAGATCAATGTCTTGCCAAAGGAAATTAGTGCCGCGGCGGGGCTCGAACCGCGGACCTTGTGATCGACATTCGACGACGTATCCGCTCATCTTAATTGATATCGGCATGGCTCTAAATGCTAATGATTTTGTGGAACCCAAGAGTAACTTTTAACATTTGAGTATTTATTTTATTTTATTTTTAATTTGTTTTTTGGTTAGATCTTTTCAGCATCTGAACTTCTACCAAAATGAGCTGAGGTCTTTTGACATTATCCCTGGCTGCTGTAACGTATTAAGGTAAATATATTGGGCTTTAATGTAGATGTATATGTATGTTGATTAAAAAAGGTGAATGTATGTTTGTTCGTAAGCAATAGTGGAGTTGACGAGGTGGAGTGGGGCAGAATTACATTTGTAAAAATTCTGTTTAACCTTTAGATCTGAAGAAAAAGTGAGGGTCTACTTCTTGACTGTGTGTTTCTTCACATGAATGGCTCTCATCCAATAAAGTTTCTTGTCTTGTTTTTAACCAGGATCGGCGCGATATAAATAATCTTGATTGAAAACTTGATTTACATAATCGCCCAGATTTTCAAATTGAAACGACATTCATAGACCTGCGTGTTGAAGAAATTGTTTTGGTGGGTTTTTTTATCTTAAAAGTGGATTTTTTTTTCCTATCATACTTTTGGACAGTTTTGGGCTACAATACCATTGATTTTGTTGTAAATTCAAGACCTTTCTGTTGGCCCATAAGTTCTCTGCACAGCTGAAATACAGTCAACCTTGCACAAAAGCGACGTTGCATTTGATGAATGACCTCTTGAGTCGATGATAATAGAAAGTCCCTATATTTCTTCATAGACCTGCATGTTTTAGTCCTCTGTATAAGTTGATCTTTTAAAAGTCGAATAATTGCCAAAGTCGATCATATTCCCAAAACAATTCTGAATAATAGCACCTAATTCTCAAGTCAACTGAGACCGCAATGTGTAATTAATCACTGTCAAAGAATGCACTACAGAGACTACACACCAATTTTTCTTACACTCTAACCCCTGTATTCCGTTTCTTTCTCTCTCTCTCTCTCTCTCTCTCTCTCTCTCTCTCTCCCACCTACCTCTTTAACCAAGCTTTCAGTTAATTTGTTCATATTTTTTGTATTGTTATTCACATTAGTCTCCTTTATGTAATTTTCTGAACTCTTTGTTATATACATACTTTCTTAGGTGTCCTGAGTATTCATTAGGATGGTAGGAGCACATGAGGAATATGGCTATTATTATTTGTTATGTTAACAAAGTGAGTCATAAAAAAGCATTAAGTGACCACTCCTTGCCCCCTTATCTTCCACACAGTTATCATGCAGGAGATGTTTCCCCAGTTTGAGGAGGGTACCCGGGTGACCGGCCTGGGGCAGCCCTGGACACTGGGGAGGGTGTTGGGCATGGGGCGGTGCGCCAAGGTATACCATATGTCCACCGACCAGGATAGCTTTCAGGCAGCAGTCAAGGTCTACCGTAAAGAGGAGAAATATCGACTGGCCTTTATTAAGGAGATGTGTAACCTCAATGCTGTCTATGGGGACAGACGAGTCAGTAAGTCCGTCATCTTTGTTTTAAAATTCTTTTTGAAGCTCTTATTGATTTGTGAAGGGGAAGATGGTAGCCTTGAATGTTAGAACACCTTTGATTTACAAAGGAAATGTGTACAGGCCTTCACAATTTTCACATGTATGTATGTAGGTTTGATTTCCATGGGCAAGAATTGGAAAAGAAGAAAATAATCATTCAAGGAGTGTAAGGCTTACCATCAAGACCTATTGTTTACAATGTAACAAGGTATCATAAATGGAGACAAACAAACTGAAGGATACATATACATGTAGGAACATCTTTTTAAAATCATCAAATACATTAAAAGTAAAAACATAGTCTTACCTTTGAAATGTTGTAACTTAATTCTATTTCAATAAGGGCTCACATGTTTGTGTAACAGGTTTATTAGCTTTAATAGTTCAAAAATTCCAAATGTTATCTGTTCATATGTGTTTTTTTTTTTTTACATCCATCTTTTACAATATGATATGCATTTAATGCCTGTACAATACCAATTGAAAAAAAAGATGAGACACTGAAGGGATAGAATTGACACAAGTATAATCAGATTGTTCTAAAACTTGGCACACTAATTAAGCACATACTGTTTTTAATTACTTCAAAGAATCAATGTAAAAGCTTGCTGTGTTATAAAGTTATTGCAGATAAAATTGAGACTAGTAGAATATTGTATCACATCAATTGAATTCCATGCCTAAAAAATCCTAAATGCTTGAAATTGCTAGTTACTAATCAGAAACTTCTTGCTTTTTTTCCTTTCCCCAGTTTCAGTTTATGGCACTTTTACCCATAAGGGACACCCCTGTCTGGCAATGGAACTGCTCGACTTTAATCTCAAGGAATTCATCTACCGCAGTGAAAATTGTCGAGTTATTCTCTCCAGTATTCCTACAACCAGCAACCATTCCAAAAACCACTCCAGGGTTGTAAGCAATGTTCCATGCAACAATAACAACAATGACATCACCAGTGGTACCGCAAACCACAAGGACCATAAGAAAGGGAAAGGACAAGGCAAAGAGAAGAAGACGGCTCAAAGTGGAAGAAGTCATGGTAGAGTCAGGACAGCAGATCACACAGAGGGCAGCGGGAGGTGTGGAACCAGGATGCAGACGAGGAGAGCAACTGCCCAGCGAGCTGCCGGTCTAAGGAGCAAGGGTAAGGATAGTGATCATGGGTCAACGAGAGCTCCTGACAGCAGCACCGCTCTTGCCTCAAATTCAGGTAGAGATAGCAGGACTCACTCAGGGACTTTGAAGAACACAAAGAAAGATAACGCTGAAGAAGATGACGGAGAGGAGGATGATCTTGCTGATCACCAAGAAGGCAATCAGGGAGCAAGTGAGGAGGACGTAGAAGAGGAGGATGATGATGATGAGGATGCTTCCAGTTATGGTCTCTCGCTCTACTTGATCCAGCAGCTGTTGAGAGATATAGCATCATGTTTGGAGTTTGTTCAGAGGTGTGGCTGGGTCCATGGTGACCTCAAACCAGCCAATATCCTGTGGAGCTCACAGGAAGGCAGCTGGAAGATTGTGGACTTTGGACATAGTTTTCAGGAAGGACGCCAAGTGAGTCAATGGATTTTAGCTCATTCATTACCTTTTATTAGGTTATTCATTTTCTTGCTTAAATTAGTTGGTATTGTATTTATCTTTTTGCATTTACATGATTCCCCAGTTGCTTATTAAAATCTTTCTCCACTCTGTCTCTCTCCTCTTGGGTCTTCTGAAAAGATATAAGGAGGCGCGATAGCTCAGTCGATAGGGCAGTGGTCTCGTAATCCGGTGACCCGGGTTCGAAACCAAGGCGATGCGCCAGTGCCTTTTGGTAAGGCATTAATCCTCATTACCAGGTCCCTCAGAGAGGACCTAAAGCCGTCAGCCGTCTGGTTGCTTACTTACAAGCATGTATGCTTTCTTAGCAGTCAGGTAAAATAACCACCACCATTCATTCATATCTGAGGGTTCTAGCAATCGACAGTATATGATACCATCGGTCTAAGAGGATAAAGCCCCGGAGACCGATACGTTTGACTTAATCACCTTCTGCACGACTTTCCTAGGATTTTCACTTAACCTACATTGTCAATCTTGTGGACTAGTTCAAAATCTGATCCAAAAGAGATATGTACGACATAAAAGGCCATTATGAGTGTCTTACTCAATGGTGTATTGTTTTAAACAATAAAATGGTTTGTTGTTTTTTCTTTTTATTATACAAAATTGTTTAAATCAAAATTCTGTGTAACATTTATTCTATATTTCCTATCAACCAAAACTTAAATGGTCAGAGTATGTATCAGTGCTATATCAACAAAATTGTGTATGTATATCAAACTATATTGTTTCTTTATTCTCTCTCTGTTTTTTGGAATGAAGGATTTCAGCCAGATTCAGAGCTTATGTTACCAATCCCCAGAGGCCAAGGTGTGGAATAGTTTTGTGAGTAGCCTAGGCAACCAGAAAGTGGTGCACAAGATGAGCGCTGTTGATGAGGGCGTTACAGAGTGCACTCACGCAGCAGATATATGGAGTCTGGGCTGCGTCATAGTGAGGGCGTACACCGGGATGAAGCTCTATGGCCAGGATGATGTGCTCCCTGGAGCCTGCTTGCAATGTCGGGTAGGTGGATCATAGTGATGGTTGTGGAGTTGGCAGAGATGAAGATAATGTTGGTGATGATGGTAACAGTTGCCCTTAAATGTGTTTGGAGTCAGTGCAGTTAACGATGTTCATGCGTGGGTATATAGTTGTTTTTGAGGTAAGCAACTTGGCGACCACTACATAACACTGAGCCAACGGGTATTACGCTCCCGTGCGTACGTCCGTGTGCTGCCCTCTATATACCCACGCACAAGCAACTTAAAGGGAAGTGATGATGGTTGTGCTGATGGTGTATGTGATGAGAGAGATAATGGTGATTATGTTGGTGTCAAAGAATTATCACGATGATAAAGATGACAATAAACAATGGCGGTTAAAAGGATGATAATGATGAAAATGATGACTACGATAAGTATAATAATGTTTACTGGAAATGTTAATATTGAGAGGATTCTTGATTTAACTTCAGGTAATAGTGATGATAGTGGTGTAGTTTATGGCATGACAGAGATGTAAAATGACAGTAATGCGATGAAAGAACAAAGTAATGATGTTTTTCTTTTGTCTGACTCCCAAACAGATATCTTGTTCTAACACTGCCTGTGAATGTGAGCCACTCATAGAAAACCTTTTCAAACCAAAGATGACCAACCCCAAACTCTCCCCTATCCGCCAAGCAGCTGTACATCATCTATCAGATCTTGTTAAGAGGTAAGAATCATAGAATGAGAGTAAGATAGTAGTGATGAATATTTTATGTACACAGTGTGAGTCAAAAAAAAGTTTACACCTAGAAGATTGCTAATTCTTTTAAAAATCATTTATGAGCAGTAAATTATGTTTTATCCCAAATCATTTGGTATCAGTTTTGTGTGGTATGTGTTCACGCTTGGATGAACAAGAGGCATTGTTTGCGAGAGTGCAAAAATAGACTTGCGCCAAAGTTGCTTATGTGATGTTAATGCAAGGAGTCCACTGGGCCGGCGCCAGTTGGCGCCAGTTTGCGCCAATGCAATTTACTGTGGCGCCTAGTGTCGCCAATAAGGTGCCTAGTGGCATGTAGTGGCTCAAACTGCCTCCCAACTGGCTCGTGGTGGCCCGTAACGGCACCAAATTTGAATGTGGCGGCAAGAAAATTTCAAAATGTTTGAAATTTTCGTCGCGCCACTTGCATCAAGCAATCAGCGCCAAGTGTCCGCCAAGTGGTACCAAATGGCGCGAACATATCGCCCTTTGGCGCAAACAATCCGCCTGTTGGAATCCACTGGAATGTAATGGCGCGCGCCACGTTGCGCCAATGAGATTTCGCGCCACATGGCGCCACTTAGCGCCAAGGGGCACCTTGTTTGCGCCACTACGCGAGCCAAACGGCACCCAATTTGTGACTACTTCGCGCCAAATGCCACCTGGTTGCCCGCCTTTCGGCGCCACTTACCGCCTATAAAAGCAGGGCGGCATCGCAGGACTTTCTCACAGTGATGACGGCAGTTCTCCAAGCTCCAGGGATGAGGTTGTGCTGGGCATCCTCCTGGTCCAACATGCGGACGTCCAGTGCCTGATAGCGCTTCCTGATGAGGTTGTGCAGCATGACGGCAGCTTCAACGAGCAGGCGGACTGTGTCTGGTTCCTGTCTCATCTGGCCAAGGAAGCACTGGAACCACAGAGCCAGAATACCAAAGGCATTTTCAACCACACGCCTTGACCTGGACAGCCTGTAGTTGAAGATCTTCTGCTGTTGGTCCATGTTACGACGGCCATAGGGCTTCATCATGTACGTCCTCATGGCGAAGACATCATCTCCCACGAAGAAGTACGGCAAAGGGTGCTCTTCATCATCATGGGGAAGAGGAGCTAGATCTGGGATGCCTAAAGTGCCAGCTTCAATGCACTCCTTCAGTTCACTGTTGTTGTAGATCTGGGCATCAGACTGATGGCCAACCCCGCCCATATCGATTCACAGGAACTGGTACTTTGAATCTACCAGAGCCATCAGGACAACCGAGAAGAACTGCTTGTAGTTGAAGTAAAGGCTGCCTGATTTGTTGGGCTTCTGGAGATGGATGTGCTTTCCATCATAGGCTCCCAGACAGTGAGGAAGATTCCATCTGGCTTCAAAATCACCTGCAACTTCAAGCCAGCCTTCATTGGTTGTGGGGAGGGAGATGACTTCTGCAGCATACTCATCCACTATCGCTCTGGCTACATCAGGGACAAACTTCTGGATGGTTTCCTTGCCCACTCGGAAGTTGTAAGACAGCTCGGCATAGGTGGCCCCACGGTGGCGAGATGGCGCAGGAAGACGAACAACTTGAGACCAAGGGGAATGGTCTCAGCCTTCCTGATGTGGGTGTCCTTCTTCTGCAAGTGGGGTGTAAGCCTGACCAACAGGTCATCAAACATCTCTGAGGACACTCTGGTGTAGTTCTTGAACTTCCTCCTGTCATTCTCCCTCAGCTCTTCCATCAAAGTGTGGTACTGTCCACGTTCGGCCCTCAACTGTGGGTGGAGCATGAGTCTAAACCACCAGTTGTGCTTCCTTTTCTTCTTAGGAGGCTCTTCTTCTTCAGGATTGGCCAGCATAAGTTGATAGGCAGTGGCCACCTCAGCATCTCTCATCATCTTCTGATGGAGCAGCATCATCATTCCAACATTATCAAAAGCCTCAGACATATCAAAATTGTAAATATTTAGTAGAGATGTTGTTCATACAGCAGCTGAGGAGGGTCTGAACCAGGTAGCCGATGGCCGGTATTTATATAGTCGGCAAGTAGCGGCAAGCGGCGGCAAGTTCAAACCAATTTGGCGACCTTTGGCACAAACTAATCACCAAGTGGCGCAAAGTAGCCGTCTATTGGCGCGAATGGTGCCAACAGGGTGACTTTTGGAATCAAATGGCCGTGTAATGGCGCGAACTGGCGCAAACTAGCGCAACATTTTGGAGCAAGCCGGGTCGCATTTGGCGCACGCCATATGGCACCCAGTTTATTCCACTTGGCAACACATGCCGAGCAGACATTAATTCGGCGCCACAGCGAGCCACTACGCGCCATTCACATAATCTTTGGCGCAAACTGGCACCAACTGGCGCCGGCCCAATGGACTCCTAGCATAACATAAAACAATTGGGATTTGGGTATTAAATTGGTTTTTGCAGGTCCAAATAACATCCCTAACAAATTGAATCATGCCACACATATCAAATATCGAATATCAAATATCAACGAACATTTGTGCACGTGTGCGGTAGCCTGTGTGACTTTGCTTCTGCAAAAATCGTATGGAACGCATTTCATTTGATACATTCAATTCATTCTCTCACTCCGGTAATCCGAACATAATACATGCTGTAGGCATCACTTTGGCGCAAGTCGATTTTTGCACTCTCGCAAACAATGCCTCCTGTTCATCCAATCGTGAACACATACCACACAAAAATGATACCAAATGATTTGAGATAAAACACTCTTTCATAAGATGTATAATAATTTACTGTTCAATTATGATTTTTTGAATAATTAGCAGTTTTCTATGTGTAAACTTTTTTGACTCACCCGGTATAGCATCATCGATGATATGTCCAATCAAAATAAGTAATGTTCAAAAGTTTTTAAATTGTTTTTAACTTATAAGTAAATGTGAACTCCAGCATCACTAAACTTTCACTTTGAAATATTACTCTTCTCTTACACAGCATGTTACAATGTGACATCGCAAAGCGTCCCTCCGCAGCAGAGATTCTGACCCACCCTTTCTTCTCCAATGAACTGACCCCAAGTGCCAAAGACCTTCTGCTTCTACCAATGAGAACCCTTCGCCTGTCAAACCTTGTCTCCTCCAATGTGGATCTGACCAATCAAAAAGTGTTTCACTGTAAGTGGACATCATCATTATTTTTTAATGTAATGTAATTGTAAAGGGGAATTAACAGGCTTTTCAATGATACCAACATCCAGTATGATAATACAGTAACAAGAGAGATATAAAGGATCAAACATGAATGCAGAACTCTATTTTTTGGGGGGGGGGATGGTTTATATGCAAGTTAACAGAGAAGTGTGATTGAAATGTGTCATCCAGTAAAAGAATTACACAATGAATGGCAAAAGTAATGTCAGTTTGGTGAATGAACCAGGTTTAATCAATTATTGTTTGAGTAGATACGAGTTACTTTACAAACATAAACATAAATTGATTGGACTGCATAATGTAGTTCCTTGTTACACCAGAAAAACTAGTCACAAACATTTTTGTTTATTTCTCACAACTTAAGTGATACATGTGACTTATCTTTTTATCTTTGTTTGTTTACTTTTATTTTTAGCTTTATATCAGGATATCAAACGTGAGTGCCTCAAATTTGGACCAATCAAATCACTCCTCATTCCTAAAGCAGGACCAGGAAAAGGCACAGTAAGTACAACAGGTCATGACTATGGATAGGGGTTATATTGAATTGAATTGAATTAACATTTATTTCTATAATCATCACAATCTATACAAAGATAAGAGATGGAATACTACAACAGATGAAAATGTCAGAATTGCATGTAAATTGACATAATAACCTTCAAATTATTTGAAAAATATGAAAGTATTAACCATAGTACAGATGGAAAATGGTGCTTCCATAGCAAGGCTTGACAATTTAATGCACCAGGCGTAAAAGTAATAATAACATAGACTGTAAAGAAAAAAAGATTGTATTTTGGGATGAAAGATGAGGTCTTGCATTAGATTATGAATTATAAAGAGAGAGAAGATTGTTTCTTATAAAGTCTTTTAAATGAATTATTAGACCAAACAAACTGTAAAGAAGGTTTAAAGTTTGAAGTTTCGGCCCGAATTCACAAAGGAGGTTTAACTTAACCCATGGTTTAAACCGTCATTTACATAACCCATGGTTTAAAAATTAGCGCAAAGTAAACATACCTTGCCTTGCGTGCGTCTAATATTGGACCTCTGACTGTGTCGTGCTTATTTGGCGCTAATTTTAGACCATGGGTTATGTAAATGAAGATTTAAACCATGGGTTAAATTCAAACCTCCTTTGTGAATTCGGGCCTGAGTCTGCTCTAATCTCCCTCACAGCGACACGCCAGTAGACTCTCCCTATAAAGATTTGATAAGTTTATATTGATACTAGGTATATATTGCATTGTCATCCAATACATTTCTCTGATTCCCTTTGTATTATATATTCAGGCCTTTATTGAGTTTGAGGATTCAGCAAACACAAAGTCAGCACTAAACGCCCTCATCGGTCAGAAGCTCTTCAACCAGCCCGTTCTCATCTCCTTTTTCCCTGTGGATGACTTCACTGCCAAACGATTCTACTGATCTGGATTAATTGAGCTGAGATTGTAGATCTATTTTGACCAAAGTGGGTTCGCCCAGACTTCCATCTTTCTATTGGAAACCAGTTTTATGGAAGATTTTATGGTCTGCAAGCCTTTCCACTGCAATGATCCTACGTGAGATTATAGTTGTCATTCACAGTGATTGCCTTTAATTTGTTTCTCCATATTTCTAATGGCATGATCAGTGTTATGGAAGAGTTAGATCCTTTCCTGCACATCTACTGAACTGGTTCAGTATGATAACCACAGTGAGTTTCTTTTAATTCCATCTTATAATGTTAAGACCAGTTTATACAGAGATGTTATAATCCTTCCACAGTTACAATTGTAAATGTTAGTAGTTTAGCTTTTGTTTGTTAAAAAAGGTGTTTTGTTTTTGTTTTGAGTTGTTTTTTTTTGCTACAGATTTTAAATATATTTTTTGTAATATTTTGTGTTTACAGATAGTTTTATTGACATGAGCATACATCTGCAATTCTAGTTGTAGGCTAAGACTTACATGTACAAACATTCTTATGCAACAGTAATTCAGCTTAGAAAGGATAACCAACATTAAAATGGTGTATTATTGTTTAGTTTTCTTTTAAATATTATATCTTATTCAAGAATGCAATTTAGGTTACCAGTATCCTTTAAGTAGGTTTATCACTTGTTAATTTGGTCAAACTTAAATTATTGTTTTGATTAAATAGTTTGCCTTTTTAATGGAGGTTCCTGAATTCATTTTGATGTAAATCTATCAGTCTCATCAAAAATAGAAATTGTAAGATTTTTTATGTCATTCAGATTAGTTCAGTTTTATTTTTGTTCCTCTGTGAAAACGCTTTTTTTTGTGTATGTGTGTGTGTGTGTGTCTTCTACATGTAAAGCCTACCTTAGAACATGTTTTTACCAAAAATTTGTTGAATTAAGTTTTTTTTTCCCCTTTTTTAAGCAAACTATATTTCCACGATTTATTTTGTACATGCTCTGTTTTTAATGTTATTATATTTAAATCAAATACACTTGTGCATTTGAATTGTTTTCATTACGTTAAAGGGGAAGTCCACCCTGATATTATGTTGGTTTTTAATAAAAGCCAAAAAATGAGAGAAACAACTTAGTAAAAATTTGAGCAATATCCGATGTAAAGTAGGAAAGTTGTGAATTTTTGAAGTTGTCATCAGTGAAACTCAAAGATTTTTGAAGTTTTTTAGTATAGGTGAATGGGAGAAGAGCTGGCAAGATACGTCACAGAGCTGCCAATTTGTGTTTGCTTGATTGCACCTTTAAAAATTCATATCCTTCTTATTTTTAATCAGATTTTGCTCAAACTTTCACTGACCTGTTTCTCTCATTTTTCTACTTATATTAAAACCAACTTAACATCAGGGTGGATTTCTCCGTTAATGCGATTTTTATGAGGAAGATAACAGTGTCACATTTGCACGAGTAAATTACAACTGATGTAGGATAATGTCAATTATTTGAATGGATATGGAATCAGCAGTCAGTTTTTATGATGTATTCAACAAAATTCAAATTTATGCACATTTCTTCCCTAGTATATAGTGATGAACTACATGTGTATGCGAATTAATCTCGTTACAAATGATTTCATTTCAGTTTTGTTATTCAGCATGTCAATTGCATATGTTAGGTTGGAAGAGTTGAGGCCTGTCTAAGGCCTGTCAGACATAGCAACCTCTAATGTCAGTACTGATAATTGAAAAACAAAATATTGAATGTAATTATTATGAAACACTTAAAGAAAGAAATTTGAATGCACTACCGACCTGAAATGATAAGAAACTTAAACACTTTGATATGTAGAGCACTTCATATGTCATGAGTTACATTCTTTACATCTTTTTGTTTTTCCAACTTTACAAGAGTATATGAAGGAAAAGAAAATGTTAATCTTAAAGATAAACTTGAGTACTGGTAATGCGATTGCATTGTGAAAGAAAAGGTGTGGAATGGATCAGAAAAGTTGATCATATAGCATGTAATTAATGGTGTGTAATGCAAGGTTCTAGAGTCATCAAAATCATCATAAATTTGGCAGAGTCTTGGTAAAGTAACAATTACTTACACAGATAGATGTATATGGGACAACACACATGGTGTCAGGGTTAGTACTACCCTGATTTCCTTATCTTTCTATGCTCATTACTCAGCCAGTATACATTTTCTTCCAAAATTGTTTGGCATATGACATTTATTTGTAATCTTGAACATTAAGTGTAAGTTTCGTTAGATTCTGTGAGAATTAATTTTCTTTTTTTACCAGAACTCAAGTTTGTCTTTAATTGTATATAATTGCATATATCAAAAGGATGATACATGTAATATCAACATAATGATATGTGGAATGCTACAGTAAAGCAATAGATGTTAAAATGCACAATAATTGTAATTATCAAATTTGAAAACTTGAGATGATCTTTCAGATTTCAATTGATTAGATGATTTTATTTTTTAATCACTATGAAACGGTCAACAGCTACATACATGTATGTACATAAGCTGAAAAGTACTGATATATCAAATCTCAGAGAAATTTGTGATTGAAGTGGATGGTTTATATTGGCCAGTATCATTGATTTGTGTAGACTGTATATATATATATATATATATTTGTTTATAAATATATATATTTTTATTTATTTATTTATTTTTATTTAAAAAAAAATTGTTATTGTTATTATTGTATTTTTTAAAACATAACTTAGAGACTAGAGGGATTATTGTTTAAGATAATACTGAGTGATGTTTTGGTCAATGATTGAAAAATGAATGACTCTTTGTTAAGAGATTAAGTCTAGATGTGATGTATCTTTTCTCCGGCGTCATTGGGTTAAAGGGAAAGTCCACCCCCAAAATAAGTTTGTTTCGATAGAGGCAGAATAATAAGAAAATCAGGTGAGTGAAAGTTTGTGCAAATTCTGAATGAAAATAAGAAAGTTATGAATTATTGAAGTTGTGATCAATCAAATACAAATTGGCAACTCTGTGACTTATTATACGAGCTCTCCTTCATTTGCTTTGTGCATAATATTCCATAAAATCATGTTTTCTTCGTTATTGAAGACGGAATATATATTTGTTCCTTGCAGGGGGAGTATAGAAACATATTTGCAATTATTATATTTAGGGTGCATGTATGGTTGAAATTTTTCTTGAGGGAAAATGAAAATTTTAGATTTTTTTAGTACTGAGCAAATGGAAGTTGAGCTCGCATGATACGTCATAGAGTTGCCAATTTGTGTTTGATTGATCACAACTTCAAAAATCCTAACTTCCTTATTTTTAATCGGAATTTGCTCAAACTTTCACTGACTTGTTTCTCTCATTTTTCTACTCCTATTAAAACTAACTTAATTTCAGGGTGGACTTCCCCTTTAACATCATCAGCTTGACAAATGATGGTTGAAGATATTGATTCTGGCTCCTTAATCTCGATTGTAGATTATTCTCAGGAGATCTACAGGTGTATCATTGCCCTTGTCATAGTAAGCAGCAGTATCATCATCATTATTATATGTTCCCACAAGTAATGTAGTGAACTACATTCCTTGTGGGAACATATAATAATAATATTCCGCTTTATATAGCGCTTAATACAATGTTTCGAAGCGCTTTACTGATATACTATTACATATTGAAAAAAAGTGTAATTATACAGGCCTGATAAAAACCCGATTTAAATCGGTTTCCCGATTTTTTTATTTTTCCCGATTTTTTCCCGATTTTTTTTTTCTTCCCGATTTATTAAAAAAAAAAAAAAAAAAAGTTTTTTTTTTTTTTTTTTTTTTTTTTTACCAATTTTTTTTCTTCTTCCATATTTTATCCTGATTTTCCCGATTTCCCTCTTATTTTCTCTACTCTTCCCTATTTTGCCCTATTTTTGTCCAATTTTTTTTTACTTGAAAGGCGGGAATGTTGATACATGCCATTTTTTCCCCGCTAATCCTCTTCTTTTTTTTTACTCAAGGGGGGCGTGGTTGAGGGGAAAACAAAAACCTATTTTTTTTTAGTGCTCACTATCACCCCTGATTATATGAATAGTATTGCAATTATATTATTTTTTGTTTTTTACTGATATTGTTTAATTGATATAAATTAATTACATTTAGGCCTACTTTTTAGTAACATATAATTACTATTGACATACTTTTTTCTGTTAATTAACAATTAGTATTTTGTTTTCTTTTTTTCATGGTTAAAGATGGAAAATGGAATGTATGTTAACCCAATTGATTAATTATATGTATTTTACATATCTACCAAAGGAATGTATCTGTACGTAGCTTGCTTTGTCAGATACATTATTGTTAGTTTTTAGCTACATGTAAATAATAATAATAATAATAATCTGGTTTTTTATATAGCGCTCAATACACCGATCCAACGATGTACCTAAGCGCTTTACAGATATATTATTACTGGAAAAGCTGATGATATCAAATATCTAAATGTGCTTTACAAAAAAGTAATTTCAACACTGCCATCACTATCAAAATCAGGTTATATTTTCTGTGAAACAGAAAATCTTGTCCAGTTTGGCACTATTGTAACAGAATTGTCATGTCGAATTATCATATTTTGTACATACCTATCTAATTAATAGCTTGTGCAGTCATCTGAAAAACATTATTTGTAAAGTGGATGTATACTGATGTATTTGTTATAGGTACTATTTTATATTTCTAATCAAAACTTAATTGAAACTTATAAAGATTGCATTGTGCAGAAGTATACTGACTATCTAGATATGCTCTTAAAAGTAACTTAAGGGTAAACAACCACCTCAAAGTGCCCTGGAAAGAGACCTGTGCAACTTTCATAATTTTCTGTCTACATCTCTTTGGCAAGGGCAGGAATATAAGAACCTCCTTGTAGCCCAGAGAACAACGCAATATCCTGAAGACGGAGCTCCTCCTTCCACCCCCCAAAAAATGAAAATACTTTTTCAGAATTACCAAATCTCGTACAATCTGTTAATTGGATTACATGATGTCAAAAAACACACACACAGACTTTGAAATTATTGAAATGTATAGAACCTTTAACAGTTTTTACACTTTGATAACAAAAGACAAGACCATTACAAGTTTTAATGCACATGGTTTCCATAATGGGAATGTAAAAATGCATCTGTTGACATTTTCTATCCAATATCTTCCTATAGTGCAAGCATGTTCTTTACATCATCTATTAAATCTGTTAAGGTTTATATTTTAAGTTTGAACTACAAAGAACTAAACTAAAGTAACATTTTGATTCAAATCAATTTCAAACATGTTATATTTGATAGTACCCATTTTTCAAATGGTTAAACCGTTAAACAAGGACAATTTAATATTTAATTCCCAAATATACTCTGGGAAGGTAAATTCAAGTGCAAGTATTTTTCATGTATTAATATAGTATTTTCCACCATTTGTAAGTATTCATAAACTATTTCTATGTACATATTGATATAAAGTACTATTAAGTGCTTTCAGTCATGACTTGTAAATTCATATCTATCTTTTATGACTATAAAGAGAGCTTATTATTATATATATATATATATATATGAGATTTATAAAGATGCTATTTTTTAATGTTGAACCATTTTATAGCTTGATATTTTTGCTGTGTCAATGTTTTTGAATAAGGAGGCATACTGTCCCATAAAAAAAAAATCTGTCGTATAGATTCTATTAAAAAGTGTTCAGTTTGAAAGCTACATTTTGGTTGAGTTTGAGTTTGAATGTTCAGAGTGTAGACAGTGTTCACAGGAGATGTCAGAATGTATGGTAACAGAGTTTACATCAGTAAATTGCTGCAAAAAATGCCATGTTTTTGGTTTTTTTTTTTGTACATCATTGTTATGTATGGCAACTGCATGCAACAGAGGACTTTGGCATATTCACTGAGGCTCTGTGTTATAAGTCATCATACAATTTTATCTCCATTACTTATTTCAATTGTTTCATAAATCAATTGTATTTTTTTATTTCATTTCATTTTATTTTATTTCAACACGGATCACTTGCTTCAGCCAATGGCTGTTCTTCTCCAAGTCTGTGCATATTTGTATATTATAACGTGACAGAGGATGGTTTAAACTATTGAATGAGGTTATATATATATATATATATATATATATCCGATATCAAGTTCACCTGTTGGCATGAGATGATCCAAAAAAGTTTTGTGATTTTTTTTTTCTTCAAAATTGATTGACAGAAAAGGAGAAACTTTAAGAGAGAGAAAAAAATGAGAGAAGGTATGGGAAAGGGAGAGAGAGAGAGAGAGAGAGAGAGAGCGAGAGAGAGGGGAGGGATTAAGGGGGGGGCTGATGAATAGAGGAAATGTGTATTTTTATCTGAAGTTTCTCTGTGTACCCAGTTTTATTCTTTAATTTGTTTGTCACAATTGTGCAATGTTTTTTTTGTTATATCGGCAAAATTATTTATATCAATTGTTATTTATATTAACCATTTATATGAATTATACCTCTTCCAAAATCATTCAATCACACCTCCTGTGGTTTTCACTTTTTCCCCCAATTAGTAAACAACCTTTTTTGCCTAAAATTATTGATGAAATTATGCCGCTTATATCTTGACGAGACCATTCTTTATTTTGTTATAAAGTGCTCGATTATTTGAAAATGCGATTAAAAACTAGTCAAATCCTTCAATTTTTTTTTCTCACAGGTACTATCCATTAGAAAAATGAAACGAAGCCTTCTGCCTTGTTTTTTTTCTTAACATGAAAGAATACTTGAGTTTTGTTGTAAGCGTGACCAAGAAGGAATTTAGGGTGATTTACCCAAACATACCTGTACTATAATAAGGAATAAAATTGTACAATGCCAACCAAAATTCTTGTGACTCCTTTATGATAATCACATATACCATGAATCAATTAAATTCATTGGATCTTCCCAAAATATTAATAGATCAGACGCATGAAGAAGTATCCTACCCATCTACCAATACAAGAGTACAGAAGAAGAAAAAAACCGCTTCGGGAGGGATAAGTATAATGGGTGCTAAAAAAGAAAATAATTGATTTCCTCCCCCTAAAGTTATTTCCCTTTTGAGTTTCTCTGAAGTTAGTAGGTTTTAGTTGAATTGAATTTAGAAAGGTAGGTTTTCTATCTATCTATCTATCTATCAGGCTATAGTTCATCCAGACGTTGGACAAAGCCCTCCTCATGTAATTTCCATTCTCTTCTGTCTCTAGCTGTCCCAGTCCAAGCGGCCGTTCCCATGTATGATGTTAGGTCATCTCTCCATCTAATTCTCTTCTGCATTCCTCTTCTTCTCTTTCCCATCCTTGGTTGCCATTCTGTTAAACGGTTTGTCCATCTATTGTCCTGAAGTCTTGCTACATGCCCAGCCCATATCCACTTTGATTCTCTGACTTTCTCCATGATGTCTTTGACCTTTGTTCTCTGGCGTATGACTTTGTGATTGATTTTGTCTCGCAGAGATAAATGCGACATCTTTCTCTCCATAGCTCGTTGAGTAGTCACAAGCTTCTGTTCTAGATCCTTGTTCAATGACCATGTTTCTGATCCATATGTCATAGTTGTTAGAATGCATTGGTTGAACATATTCTTCTTCTTAGTGACATGGGTATGTTTTTATCGGTCAACATGTCTGTGTATCTTCCAAAGTTCATCCATCCTGCTTTTACTCTCATCATAACTTCTTCTTTTGTGGTGTCCTCCTTTTTCAAAGTTTGTCCCAGATACTTGTAACTGCTCACTCTCTCTAACGTTCGACCTTCTATCTCGATGTTTTCATCTGTGTCATAGTTGGTCATATATTTAGTTTTCTCTTTCTCTTTCTTTCTGCATAGTTAGGCCAATAGGTTTTAAGGAATGATAAATTTCAGACAATCACTGGAGGTTTTCGTTGAGGGATATGTTTTGCAGTTGTGATTTTATTCATAGCTATAACGAAATTACACAACATAAGTTGCCTTCGACCATGGAGAAAAAAGGAAGAAGACGACGACAAAGAAGAAGAAGAACGTGGATGAGGAGTCGAAGGAGGAGGAGGAGGAGGAGGAGGAGGAGGAGGAGAAGGAGGAGGAGGAGGAGGAGGAGGAGGAGGAGGAGGAGGAGGAGGAGGAGGAGGAGGACGAGGAGGAGGAGAAGGATCGAGGAGGAGGAGGAGGAGGAGGAGGAGGAGAAAAAGAAGGAGAATAATAATGATAATACAGTTTTGTAATAATAATAATATTAGTAATAAAAATAAGAAGAAGAAGAATTAGAAGAAGAAGAAAAAAAAACAGAAGATCGACAGACTTGGAGATATTGAAGACCGTACTAATTGATCGAAATGGGGGGGGGGGGGAGGAAGGATATAAAAAGCCGTATTTAGGACACAATGGTCTAAATTTACATTCAAGGCCCATATATATATTTGTGATTTTTCTATACCAAAATTTTCTTACAAGCTTAGCAAGCGGTACCTCCGATGCCAACTCCGCCTATGAAAATATAGAGCGTAGCAAATAAAGTGAGAGAAAGTTATATGGCTTCTGAACAACAGATGGCGTCCATAAACCACCGGCTGTGACAAGTCGGGCATGGAGATGTGTACATTGCATGGTGTGTGTATATTTTGTCAACATTGGATTGATCATGCATTGTGATTTATACAGCCGAGTGTAGTAGTATAAAGCCGAATCGTGAATAGGACAGACATGTCATACCGGAAGTAACAACTTGCTTTCATGTCTCAGTAAATTTCTCGGTGTCATCTGATACAAAATGGGTAGTCGACTGAAGTAAGTAAAATCCAATATGTCTGGTACCACAAAGTATAATTGAAATTTGTAGTTTTATAGTGAAAACGTCTCGGGATCATTCAGAGGCCGGTCGCATCGCACGGCCTTAACTTTTTTGTGTGTACAGAACAGCTAGGAGGACTAGAATCTAGATAGACATCTATTATTAATATTAAATTAGAAATGATGCATATGAGATTTCCATTCCCCCATTCTAAAAAACTGCATAATTGTAAACTCGCCTAACTAGGGCCCATAATTTTCATCTAGGTCCATATTCATGTCTTCGCCTTAAAAAAAGTGTGTGCATGGACAACAATTTTTGAGAGCAGAATTAATCCCTTAATTTGATTGCATTTGTGCTTGGACTCAGTTGGAGTCTAAGTAAAATGAAATACATGCAGGTCTACATTACGCTAGTTTGGTTTTGTTTGTGTAAATGACTGCAATTTGCTTTGTTTGAGTGCGCATTAACAATACCTTTGAAGCGTAAATGTGTGTTGTGCTGTACGTTTACTTGAAACGGGTAGCGTACATGTACGATAATAGCGATTAATAAATAAAGGTGGGCATGCATGAAGGGGGCTCGCTAATTCAACGAACTCTGGGGAGCCCTACCATACTAAATTTGTCCTTATTATCATGAATTGAGTATAAATTGTGAACAATGTGTGTAGACTATTTGCGTTTCCAGCAGAACCATGCATGCAACAACGTGAACTCTTGAACGAGATGTGAGTTAAGTGCCCCTCCCCTTTCTCATAGACGCAGGCTATGTTAGATGGAAAACACTCTGTCCCTCAGATAGGATGTTAAATGGAGTCACCACCCTTGCATGTCAAGAAACCCATTGCACTATTCGTATAAGAGTAGGGGGAAACCCGGTGTATTGTGGTCCACCTGCACACCCCAATCAGGCCGAGTATATACGGCAACTGCAAGAATCTTATATTACTTAACTTTGGTTTACTTTGGTGTCGAGGCTTGAAGCTTCAGCTTATGTGCCCCTTCTTACTGCATTGGATTCGCGTTGATATGGGTAGTATTTCAGCAGATGGCGCTTCCAATGTTTTTCGAGTTCTGACTTGAACCTATTGATTGATGAGGCATTTATGGCAATTTCAGGAAGGTGATTCCAATCATTTATGCTCCGCACTGAAAATGACATCTGCCTCGTCTTAGACTTGCAGTAGGGCTTCCTTATTTTGAGCCTGTGTCCCCTTGTTCTGGATTCCTCGATGATATCAAACATGTCATTCTTCTCTACTGCCTCAAATCCATGCATGATCTTGTATATTTGAAGAAGATTAGCCCTCTATCTCCGGTACTCTAGTGATGGTAGTTTGAGAGTTTTGAGTCTGCATGTCTTCGTAGCATAGATGCTTTACATCTTGGATGAGTCGCGTAGCTCGTTGCTGAACAGATTATCTTGAAGAAGGAGGCAGATTATCTTGAAGAAGAAGAAGAAGTGAGAATTGCACAAAGGGCGGAGACGTAATTGTCAAATGCGCGCAGGTAAATGCCATCCAAATGCAAGCTTAATTCCTGTTGGTGTGTAGTCCCGCATACATCTCATATTGTAATATGTAAACTTCTGAATGTGTTTCATAGATTTTTGAATATTTGTACTCCTCCGTTACGAAGTAGCCGGAGGCATTATGTTTTGGGGTTGTCCGTCCATCTAGCTTCCGTCCGCATGTACGTCTGTACGTCCAGTTCTTGTGATCGCATTATCTCAAGAACCGATTGATGGATTCCTGCCAAACTTAAATCATGTATTTATCTTGCAAAGCTAATGAATTGATTAGATTTTGGGGTCATGAGGTCAAAGGTCACAGGGTTCATTATGTATGCTAAAATAGCTTGTGATCGCGTTATCTCAAAAACTGATTGATGGATAATTCTTACCAAACTTAAGTCATGTATGTATCTTGCAGAGCTAATGAACTGATTAGATTTTGGGGTAATGAGGTCAAAGGTCACAGGGCTCATTATGTATGCAAAAATAGCTTGTGATCACATCATTATAGAACCGATGGACAGATTACCATCAAACTCGGAACATGTACATGTATGTATCTTGCTGAGCCAATAAACTGTTTAGATTTTGGGGTCATGAGGTCAAAGATCATGGGGCTCATTGTGTATGCAAAATAGCTTGTGATCGCATTATCATTAGAACCGATGGAAGGATTACCATCAAACTCAAGACATTTATCTTTCAAAGCCAATGAACTGATTAGATGTTAGGGTCATGAGGTCAAAGATCAGAAGGTCATACAGGGTGTACATGTATATGAAAAGTAGCTTGTAATCACAATATTCTGAGAACCTGTTAATGGATTACAATGAAACGTAAATTTGAAAAGTTGCTTCTGTTTTGGTTTGTAAAATCGCTCTAGGCATCATTTTTGACTGCGCACAGTCGAAGTTCCATCTACATGTAGTTTGAAATATTTTTTTCTTTAAACTAATTGCTATTAAAACTCCATCCTAAAAATCCTCCAGATCTCATTCCCCTTGTGACATCATCTGTCAGTCATCAATGAGTTTACTTGAGAAAGTAGTATGTATCTTTGCCGAAGTTGACCACCTGTTACAATACGTAATACAATAGTAACATAAAAGTTGCTATGTCAGACGTGCTGTAGCATCACCAGGAAGACAAAGGCAATGATGATGTATTGTTCATGTATGAAAGCATGCAATTCTATTTATGAGTGTGTGCTGAGCTGGGGGAAATTACATACCATTGTCTATTGTAGAATATCAGTTTAGTCGACTGTTTAGTCTGACATTTCTGACATAACAACATGTGGTCAACTTTGGCAAATTTACATACCACTTTCTCAAGTAACAGGTCTCAACAGCCAAACAAAATCAAAGTTGCCATGGTAGTTTCCATTGATGGCAAAGTTGTAGAAGTGTTGTGCAACGTTCAGGCCAGGACAGCTTGTTACCCATGAAAGGGAGCTCTAAGTACATACTTCTTCTTCTTTCAGTGTAAGTGCTGCTTCATGGTGTTGAAGATACATGTACAACTGTAAATGCACTGATTGTGTGTGTATGTATGGAGGCTTTCACATATATCCTGTTATTCCACATTTTAACTTTTTTGTTCTTGTTGTGCAAGTGCATATACTGTACATGTGTAAGTAAAAAAAACATTCCTGGTCTTGTAGACATTACATCTGCATCTCACTCAAGAAGACATTGAAGGCATCAAGAGAGGGGTATTGGGCTGGGTCCTGTGGGAGGTTGTTCCAGTCCTTGCAGGTTCTTGGGAAGAAGGAAGAAGCATAGGTCTGACTACTGCAGTGGAACGACCTAAAACGAGATCCATGTCCTCTTGTTGTTGATGTCAGTTCAGTGAGAAAGGCCTTCCAGGTAACGTCGACAAGGTTGAAACGGATGCGATACAGCATACATGTAGCAAGGTGGCTGTGAAGGCGTGTATGTATCTATGTACATATTGTATGCCATTTATCAGCAAGACATTTATTTTACCGGATGGAAGCAGCCTGAATGGAAGATTCCCATTTCAATATGATGAGTAGCCTACATGTACATGTATATTGTATAGGTAGTGAGACATTTCAAATTATGTTAAAGTGACTCGGTAACAGTGCCTTAGATTCTGAAAAAAAATCCTGGATTTAGCTCTTGCTGCAGTCACAATTATAAACCTTAGGACAGTCAGTATTCTTATCAGTCAGGAACACCATGACTTTTAGAAGCCGATCGCCTGTCTGATTATCAAGATATTTATGATTGGAAATCATAATTTCATTTTTCGTTTTCCTAACAATTTTATATAACAATCTACTGTGGAAAATAAGTATGGTAAAACCGGTCACGCGGAGATTTTAACTTTTTTGAGGCATTACATGATCATTTTGAAGCTCAATCATTTTGAAGCATAGGGCTATGCATGTCAGATTAACAAAATTTAAACGATGACTTTAAAGGTAAGCAGCATACTGCGGTTTTGGAACTTTGGCTGTACACTGGCACACTATGCACTTTGTACTAAGACCTTTGTTTATGAAGTAAATATTGACCATGCATGTTAATATGGTTTACTCAAAATAGAACCGATGCTATTAAGGGTAGATTACCATCATGCATTCCAATACTGTACACTACCTAGCTTGGCCGGGATGTGCCAAAAAAACTACATGTTCAGTATTTAATGAACAGCAACATATGCATAGAGTGATTTATTGGAGAGAGAGCTCTAGAAAGAGAGAGAGAGAGAGAGAGAGAGAGGGGGGGGGGGGGTAGCACCCATGCACCCCTTCCCTCCCCAATCCCTCACTCTATGAAACAAGTATGTAAATATGTTGTTGTGCCCCCTCAGCCAAATCTGCTTTAATTACACGCGTGTGCCTCTCCCCCAGCCAAATTTGAGACACTAAATTGGCAGTTTTTGTTTTAAAATTACAAACAAACAAACAAACAAACAAGGACCTTCATGACCTAATTGTAACTTTTTATAACATTACATTAAGCAAAAATGTTGTATGTATAATGTAGAGATTTTGTACTCGCATTCATGTACATGTGTAATTTTGTAAGTTGCACATACATGTACTGTATGTACTGTTTGGGTTTGGGGGATTTCCCATGCACATTCCTGTATTGTCATGTACATTGTATCATTCATGTACATCAGTGTACATGTATAATTCACTTTGCTTCTCTTGCCCACTCAAAATGAGTTGACAATCTGAAAAGCTTTAATTATATGCTGATGGCAGCTCTTTAAAAATAAATCATTGTATGGATAATTCCTGGTAAATGGGGTTTCTTTTGTAATTGATTCCTTTTGTTGATTTCTGCTTATGAGGAAGTTCAGATGTGAATAACATAATAATTTATAACGCTGACCCCAAAAAATTCCCCATTGTGTATTATGATTGAAAAAAAAATTGTATGGCCTTCTATCAAACACATTATCTGAGATTGCAGGGGGTGGTGTAAGGATAATGGCTCGTTAAGATATGGCACGGTAAACCCTCTGCACCAAAGCAGGCATGTTTTTTAAAAATGTGTAAATAAATGGTAATTGGGTGCTGCAAAGGAATTGAGCGTATTCAGTGAGCTCTGTGTTAACAGATACAGAAATATAAAGCACATATTACACAACCTTCTTTCTTGATAGATTATAAGATATACATGTAGATTAGGGGCATGGGTTATGTTTTTGGATTCAGGTTAGTTTAAGGGTTAGAATTAGGATAGAGAAGTATAGTGTTTTGTCCAGTTTTGTAGTCGAGTCAATTAAAGCCCTTGGTGCCATATTTTAATGGCCTTAGCTTTGGTCTTAGCCTTGAGCTTTGACCGAGTCATGTGTACAAGCCCTATCAAAGCTTGATATTTTCTTCAGTGGCCTCGTGACTAGGAACTAGTCCAGGGTTGAATCAAGGTATTCTGATAGTGATAGAAATTGACCAATTGTGCAATTGTCTTCTGAGCATGTGTTTACAAACAAAATCAAAACACACAACAGAAACAAGCAAATAAACAACAAACATATACCAGCCAAGGATCTCTTAAGTTTCATATACAACAGATTTTGATTTGATTTATTTACCAAAACAATACAGTAATACATTTTATACAATGTTTACATTAACAAGAAGACAAACTATTGGTTTGTAAAAGGGGACAGATAAACACATGTACTAGTCGAGCCTAACCCCTTCAACAGCTAAACAAAGTATATTGGTACAAATCAGTTAAAAAAACGTAACAAAAAAAAAATATTGAATTTACAATTACAATCGATATTTTAAAAAATAAGAATACTTACTGTAACAATGTCTTTTACAATTTACAAACTGATAATGTAAAATATAATTTGTGTACATAATTATGCAGATTATTTAACTTGATATTACATTCATGATTTGTTCATACTCAATTTAGAATGATTACTGCCCCTCCCACTCCTTATAAAAGAGCAGGCTTTCTTATTTGATATTCAAATTTAATGTTAATTTCATTCATTTTAAAAACATTTGTGATTCTTTTGTTATATTCCAGGACTAACCCAGACCACTTGTACGAGGCCTTCTTTGAAGTAGCTGGTCCTTGTGATGATAAACCAGGTAAGTAGCTAAGGCAGTTTTTGTAAATACTTCTGGCTGAAAGGATCTTAAAAATTCATGGTATATATTGCAAAGCACTTGTGTGTGTAACTCTGAAAGTAAAAAGTGGTAAAAAGTGATAAAAGCGAGAGGGAAATAACTACTACAAGGAAGGAAGGAAGGAAGGTAAAATGTAATATGAAAATGCCTTTCCTGATAGAAAAGAAAACGTTGAAGTCAGATTTTATGCCAGGAACTTTCAGATTTGCACGACGAGAACGTGGACTGCGACGTGTATCACCCTTTTAAGGCAGTGATGTCACATTGCCTTAAAGGTAAGGACCAGTATGAAAACGACCCAATTTCAAAAAATGAAATGGAAGCTCTTTATTACAATTCATGTGAAAGAATATGTTTTGACTAATACATGGTGATAAAATTTTTGACGGGAAACCGCCTACTAATTGATATATTTGGTAAATTAGTTTATCTATTGTACTGTGAGAGATAAACGCATGTGTCGCGCACGTGTGCGTAGTCCCATATACATCTTTCTATGTAAGTGCTTGTAACTTTACGAAGACTCGGCCAAATTTCTTATCATTATGATGATTCCAAACCTTGCAGTACACACCAATACTTATATGCTAGATGAGCAACCTTTTCTGATCGATTTCACAACGTTTCTTTCACAATGCAATCACATGACCATAACTGGTCTTTATCTTTAAAAGAATGTCACACGAGCAGTCCACGTTCTCGTCATGCAAATCTAAAAGTCCCTAATGACGGCACACATCTTTAGCGTACATCACATGGACAAAACCAGATTTTAGAAAAAGGAATTTTCTGAACTACAGTATAAAGCAGTGTTCTAACGAAGTTAAAATCAATTACCAGGTACGGCTGAAAATACAAGTCACTAGGTTCTACCTCTAAACAGAGTTATGTGTTGCGCTGTAATGATATCCAGAATAAATGGTATATTTTTTATGTATTGTTGGATTCTTGGTTTGTTTATTTGTTTTTCCTCTTTGTTCTCATGTTTGTAAATATTGATTTATTACTGTTTTTCTTTCAATTGTTGTAATTTTGTGGACCCCTTTGAAATACATCTGTTGGAAAAATTAATCTGTATTCAATTTTCATTACCGCACTACATGGGTACTGGACTACCTGAGCGAAAATAGACTGAAAGAAACCATGCATGCGATCGCAAATACAGTCAAACCTGTCTATAGCGACTGCCTAAGGGAAACACAAAAAAAGTGATCTTTGTAGACAGGTGGTCTTTGTCGACAGGTCCTTTAGTACATGTTTCAATGAGAAATCTTTTTCAAGGAAAACAACAAATGTGGTCTTTGTAGACAGGTGGTCACTAAAGCAGGTTTGACTGTACCCTTAATTTAATTTAACAAATATTGAATGCACAATTGCATATCGTCATTCAATTAAACATACATGAACATGTATATTCACCTCCAAAATCAGAATTTTCCTCAGTCTCCAGCGTTGGTGAAATATAACATTACACTTGAAAATTCTTAATTTGTCAGTTCGTACATAATATTGAAATCCTTAGCACTCAATATTTGTATGATATTTCATTTTTACTTTCAGAATTTTGTAGTTCTAGTTTTTAAATTGACATTTAAGTGTACCACATGTAGAATGTATTTTTTTTGTCGTTGCTAAATATCCACCCCCTAGTATGCATGCTGGCTTTAATTCATTTTATTCAACATTACAAGAATCATTCTCAAAGGAGCAAATTCTGAAGTAATTGTCACCCGTTAAAAACTTTCTAACAAGCAATTTCTGCTCCTAAAATGGTAATTATAATTTATTTTCTTCCTTCTCAGAACCCCATATCGTATATAGATTCCCAACTGACTTTCATGATGAGGTGGTGGCAAAGGAACTACCAAGGTTCTGCTTTCCATGTGATCTCAGCAGGTAGGCCTATGTCAATCTTTACTACACCTTTTCTGATTTATGCCTTTTACAATTAATACAAATTATGTAGATTTATGCAGGTGTACTGATAGTAGGGCCTAGCTAATAGGTGTTTTGTCTAGATACCCTTGTGATTCATTTTGAGAATATCAGTATGAAAGAGAGAGAGAGAGAGAGAGAGAGTGAATCAGTGAGGGGGTAGAAATAGACTGTTAAGGAAAAGAAAGAGGAGAGAAGAGAAGAGAAGAGAAGAGAAGAGAAGAGAGAGTAAGGCAGAAAGGAGCAAATTAAGATAAGAATTTTGTAGGTAGAAAAGATAAAGAGAGCCAGAGAGAGAGAGAGAGAGAGAGAGAAAGAGAGAGAGAGAGAGAGGGGGGGGGGGGAGACAAAGATAGAGCAGCAGCAAGAATTATACAGACAAAAGATGCGTACAGTCGGAGATACAGTGAAAGGAAGGTTTTTCTGCATATGTGCTGCACAAGTATATGTACATGTTCATTTGCACTTTTAGAGGAAGAGCCCCACGGTCCGTCAGATGTGTTTTTCGCTGATGTATGAAATGTGTTTAGTTCCGCTGTATCACCCTTCAAAGCCCTCAAATGTACCGGTATCTGTAGCAGCAAGTCGAGTTTATGAAAGTACTAATGTGCCAAATTTGAGATCAAATGACATGTTTTTTCTCTATGAGTGAAAATAAAAGCCCTCATTTTGTACACAACATATGGGGTGAATAAAACACTGCCAGTTGCAAAATTCAAATGTGAAAAGAAAAATGACTGTAATTTTGCTGATAATGAATATTTAGCCCTGTACTATTACAGTAGGAAAGTTTTCAATTATGAATTTTACAAAATGTTGGCCCTTTTTCAAGTTTTGAGATTTCTCACCATGCAAATCAATGCAATGCCCTTTAAAGGGATCGCTTAACAATGTTAAATCTGAGATACACGGCCCTACGTGTTATCAGTGTCTGTGATATGGTGTAATATTGAAGCCCTCAAAAAATTGCGCTTCAAAATGATCAAGAAGTGCCTCAAAAAAGTAAAAACCTTTGAGTGACCGTTTTTACCATACTCATTTTCCCCAATAGACTAGCGTTATGAAAACCGTCAGGCGAACGGTTTTCAAAATTTGTAATTCCAATCATAAATATCTTGATAATCAGACATGCGATCGGCTTGTAAAAGTCATGGGGTTCCTGACTGACCTAAAGGTTTATAATTATCATTGTATCATGAGCTAAATCCAGAATTTTGTTTCAGAATCTGAGACAAAGTTACCGGATCCCTTTAAGCGATGCATTCATTCATGACTTCACTGGCTTAGAGACACATGTATGAACATTGACACTTTCATGACCGCTCTGTGTAGTGTGTACCATATTACTAATTCATCGTGGAGGCAAAACAAATTTCTATTCCTTGCTTTATGAGTCAGAAAACTAGTTTCTTTAATGTTTGTATCTAATGTACATGTACATGTAGTGTATACAGGTACATGAACTTACTTGAGTTTCACATAAATATTGTCTTGTCTGTACCCCTCTTGCCTCTCTATACAGAGTATGGTAAGACATGCCCCAGGCAAGCTTTTTGGTCTCCCAGATTTAAGTAGCAATCTGAAGGATCAGTAGTCCTGTTTGCATGTTGCTATAGTTATGAGAGAGGTATATAATCCAGAATAAATTGCTAGACACCTGATGCTCCACAAATCAATGGATCAGTTAACCAGGTTTTACATCTATAGTCCACCTTTATGAGTATGAACCCCTACGGTATATCATTTGTGGGATAACCCTGCAGCCATACAATGCAATACATCATATACCGTTATTGATACACAGAAGCAGACTAGTGAAAGTTTGAATTAAATCTGACAAAAATTAAGAAAGTTATGAATTTTTGAAAGTTGTAATGATTATATGTATTCATAGGCACTTCAAATTGGCTGAATCGGCAGTGTTACTGTGCCAGATCACTTTCCCATTTATCCCAACACACAAAATGTTAAAATGTAAATTTTTCCAAAATGTACGATTGAGGAGGGTCTTCTCATTTTAGAACACCTGTAATAATATACTATTCATGATGTATTTTGAGTAGTGCCCCAAGGAGAAAAAAAGAGAAATTAATGATATTTTTCTACATGAAAAACGGGAGAGTTGTTCCATGACTTTGTCACAATCCCCTGACCTACTTGTAATTGCCAATTTGAGATTTGCATGAATTTAGTGATCTCATATTTCACACATATATAAATCCCTTATTATTGGCCTGATCTACTTTAATCTTTTGCCCTTTTGTTTCTCTTTTTTTCTGCTTCTATGCTAATGAAGTTGTTACAAGGCTGGATTGTACTTTAATACTATGTTGTCATGGAAACCTACGAACACAGAATACCTGTCAAGATCAGGGAGATGCAAGTTTTTTTCCAACTTAAAATCTCCCTGTTGCAGCTTAGGATTTTTTTTCTCCAACTGGCGTGTATGAAGATAAACGCTTGAGAATGCTTTAGGCTCAATGGATACATAATGGAAGGCTTTACTATTAGTTCCAATCTTATGGTTTCAGACTCGATCCATCATGAATTATAGTAGAGAGGGATTTCTCGGTGTAGGCTAGTGTTGTTCAAGGGATATGAATTTCTGGTTTCGTTTTATTTTCATCGAAGCAAGTTCATGCATTCCAATCCCATGCTGCTAGAGGGTGTAGTCTGAAAAGTCAGACCCTTTGGGACCAGTGTCAACTCATCAACAAATCATCAATTAAAGATCCACTTCCAGGGTTTCACATTTGTGATTTTGTAAAATAACAACATAATGAAATTAATCTTCATTAGGTTGACTTACAATTGCCGAAAATTGTTTTTTCATATTGATTAGTATACAAATAATGAATGCTTATGAGTTCAATAGTGCGTCAACCGAGTTGAATAGAATGTTAATCTTTAAACAAATTACTGAAACTCTTATCAAGCACAAAGGCACTGTTAAAAATACCCCACATTATTTTAGTATAGATAAATGTATATGAAGCATCTACATGTACATGTAAGTTCATGTATGTACATGTATTAAATTTAGTTCAGATTTTTAACTCTCAGCAAACGGCGTAACCATTTAATCAAAAGATTGTGCAATTAATGCATTACAAAAGTAAAGGGAACTTTATTTTTGTTTGTACAAGATGGGTTCCTTTTTAGTGGGGGGGGGGGGGGATGGGTTAGGGTTAAATGGTCATGTTTGTATTCAGCTTAGTACAGAGATCAGATTGTACCATATTGATGATTCATCCACGCATCTATTCATGTATTGAATGTTTGTGGTATTGATAGCTAGTCTACTGTAATAGCACAGACTAGTTGTACTTGGTAGTATGCCACTAGTGTGGCTAGGATGGATTAGACCACACAGCGAGGTCACCGACAGGTGGCTATCTCATCAACTCAGCTCTCAAATAACATAATAAATAGAGGATCATGGGGGACCAACAGGCACCAATTGGGGAAGTTTTCTATATAGAGGGAGCAAGTAGCTACAAGTAGGACAGCGGGGCTTTAAATAAAAGTCACCACAACTTTTTTTATTCTGTATGTTGGTAGTTTCACATTGTATATTGAAAACATAAGCCTAAAAGAATTAGTTCTGTAAAGAGATTGCAAAATCTTTCTATTGGGAAATCCTATTCAGTTGGAACTTTACTTTATGGCAAGAATTGTATTAGAAATACTATTGCTGCCCATTTTTCCAATTGAATAATAATAAAAAGAGAGGGTTTCACTGACTTTGAAGTCTCAATGTGTAGCATCAACTGGGAGATCTTATTCAAATGTCTCTGCCTATAAATTATAAGTGGAGAAGAAAATCACCATGTCTGTGGCAAGAATTCTTCTTCTTCTTCCTCGTTAAGTGCTACTTCATGCAACGAAGATTACGCACTGCAGTGTGGCGTGTGCCATGTCCATTATGTGTGTAGGCATCAATCCAGGTGCAAAATATATACACATGCATGTACAGTGATGTGCTGTTAAAACGTGGACGGACAGCAGTGGTCAAACCTTTCTATTGATTCTATTTGAAGCAATGGGTATCATGAAATGAATTGCTTCTTTGGTCTGTGTAGTGCTTACTGTACATTATGATATATGTTGATCTATACTTGGTCTTGATGCAGTCGGTACATGTATCATGAATGAATCGCTCCCTTGGTCTATGTAACTTGCTTACTGTACGTTTTGGTATGTGTTGATCTAAACAGAGCCTTGACACCGTTTGAGGACTTCACAGCATGAACTTGGCAGAAAGCTGGCAAGTTGAAGGCTGTTCAAAGGAAATGCTCTGACTCATGTGTCTATACTGAGGGGGGGGGGGGGGGGCAGACAGAGGAAGAGAGAGAGAGAGAGAGAGAGAGATACCTATATAAATGTATCTGAAGTTTCTGTAGATTGATTGATAGATGGATGGATACTGTAGACCTATTGGGCAATTCCACGGTAACGGAAGGACACTCAGACAAGATTTTTGAACTTCAGGTTCATACTAAAAGAAATGTTTTATTAGTATGTATTAAACTATGGGGAACAAAATGTGTTTCAGTCAAGTGGAAAGCTTCATCAACTTCACAAAGTTTGGATAAACACTAATTAACTGGAAAAACCATGTCCATTTTTATGTCCTTCCGTTACCGAGATAATTAATATGCACATTCTTAAACTACTTAACTATAATGACAATTTTTTGGGGAGAATTAAAGGCACTTATATAGGTATTATATCTGTACTGTTTCACATCTTATACTAATAAAACAGTTCTTTTAGTATGAACCTGAAGTTCAAAAATCTTGTCTGAGTGTCCTTCCGTTACCGTGGAATTGCCCTATAGATAATAGATAGAGAGACAAAAAAGAGAAAGATATGGAGAGAAAGTGAGTGCCAGTGGTGAGAGAGAAAGTGAGAGAGAAAGAGAGAGAGAGATACAGAAAGACGTACAGACAGACACAGAG